ATAAATAAAATAAATAGAGCCCCATATTAGGGGATATATGACGTAATTAATAGACCAAGGTTTCTATAACTGTAATAAGGCTGTCCATTATTACGCGTTTGTGCTACAAATACAAAAGCTAGCCTCTTGACTTTTGTAAAGTTGCTCCTTTGTTAATATAATAAATATCTAGTCATAATTTAAATATAGAAAACAAAAATGTATACAGTTAATTGAGTTTAGTTTTGGTTTAGATAAATTAACAAAATTAATTAATTTTGATGTGAGAAAAATCAGTTAAGGATGAGTACTAAATTTTGGCAAGAGATAAGAAGATGAAGCAATTATTTTGTAGGTATATACTATGTACAAGTGATAAGGATGAACAAGTGGCCCTCTTTCCCCACCCCCTGTTTAAATTTAATTGCAAAGCTGATTAAGATGACAAATGACCTCCTTTACTATTAACTTCCATGGTTTATCTAGTAATTAATTATTTTCATTTGATTAATGACCATATAGTACTGCTGGCAATCGTTTCAACCTAATGAGATAGCTTAATCATGTTTTAAAAAGGTGGAGCCCACACATAATGATAATATACACTATTGAGTGTGTGTGTGTGTGTGTGTGTGTTTGCATGTAGGTATTGTGATATTATCTACATTATTAGGTTGGCAAAGCAACTTATTTAAAAAAATTCAAAAAATAATAAAATAAAATAAAATAACCAAATAGAAAAAATACTTGAAAGAGTTAAACAAGGTTGCCAATTGGACGGTCCAAATTGACTGTGATATTAACAAAAAATTGGTTGACCTAAATTAGTTGTGATAACTAGCTAATGCCAGCGAAACAGACCACTAATAATAATAATTATTCACAAAAAAAACATTAGTAATAATAATTATAGTAATTGTTAAAGTACTATTAGTAATACAAACCACCATTGATCTAATGGGGTTTTGCACTTACTAATTAAAGTAACAAGGTGAAAAACAATCTGCACATATAATAGTACAGCCGAAATGAAAATCGACAAAATTGTCATAAACCAACGCCGCAGGGAGAGTTGACAATCCGAGCATTTAAGAAAAGATGCACAAATATATCGATTTCATTACATGCAAATAGGCTAAATCACCGTAGATTTCATACGAATAAATGTTAAGGAACATAGAGCAAAGTAAAAACCAGAGAGCATATCAGTATTTATGCAATAAAAAAAACCCCGAAAAAACTAGAAGACAACTGTGTCCAGCATTGTACCCAATGTCTGAACAATGTTTGAAGACATCAAGTTCGAGACGTGTTCTTCTAGATGCTTCTTCGCGTCTTGCCTTCCCACATTGGCGATCGCTAGTTTTTCTGGCGACAACTCATCCTCCTCCTGAACTGCTTTATTGTATTTAACAGCTAGACTTAGCATCTCCTGCACGTTTGAACCCAGAATTGCAATTATCAGAACAATTAAGTAAATAGAATTTCTATGCTAGCATATCTACTTTAAAGATTAAGGCATTCACTCTTGAGAGATTGAAGCATGAGAAGCTTGCATATCTACTTTTTAAGATTTTATAAAACTGAACTCCAAACGTGTCGTATAACCTACGGCCAAATATCATCCTCTAAAAATTGAAGTGAGGGAATAAGAAATAGCTCCCATTTTGAGGTAAAGAATAGTTTGCTTTTATTAGAAGTTCAGGCAGAATTACAGCTTTTGCCAAACCTATAAACATAAAGAAGTTGCAAGAATTCGTTTTCTCCAAGAAACAATCAGTATTAGCTAGTCTTACAAGCCCTGATAAAGCAAAATCTGAAATGCGTATTCCCATAATATATATGCGCAGGTGAATACATATAATTAAATACCACTACAAAACCATCTATCAATCTTAAGAGGTTGCATAATCCCAATGTTGGTCAAGTATAAAGTCACTTTTGGGAGGCAATTATGAAACATAAAGCTAAATAGCATTCCAGCAAACTTGAGGAATTCCTCTTTAATTAAAGCACTAGTACTGAGTTTGCCGACTACATATGTAGAAGTATCAAGTTTTTGGCTTCCCAACAGACAATCATCACCTCTAACAGAAGTATCAGACAATAAGCCGATGAAAAATAAACCCACAAATTCAACCTGACCTTTAATTAAAAGATCAAACAGACCAGTAGCTTTTCAAAGTTTATTCAGTTAAAAAGTACATCCAAAACTATTGTTAATTCCTCTGTTATATCGCAGTAGAATGGGAATTGAATTTAATTATTGAATTTGTTTTCCTCTGATTGAACTACCTTTTTTAAAACTGTTCATGAACAGGCAATGCATCGATTTATGAATTGATTGTTTTTTCTTCATTCGGTAATCTTGCTATATGGCTTATTTTAGTATCACAAGTTTTAGTATATTGACACCTTTACATTTCTAATCCCACATCAGAAATAAAGACCACCAAAATTGCTCGGCTTACGGGATGCTTCCTAGCTATAGAAAAACCAGGGCAACGATAGAACATAAAGTCATTAATTAACATAACATTCAACGTACCTGGACAGTCTGCTCATTAGTCTTTGAGTGCGTATCAAACCGCTGAAGAGTCAAACCATCTGTCCATTTCTTCTTGTGAAGATTCAGAAGCATCTTCTCCTCAAGTTCATTCTTCCTGTAATTTATTGCTATGGAGTAATAATGCCTGTTCAAACCATGGATCAGAGCCTGCAAAATTATCACCAATTAAAAATTAGAATCAAATGCCAAGAGAAGTTTAAACTGAAGTCAATTAACAAAAACATTAAACCATTACTTGAATAGACGGTTTGTTGAGATGCCCAAGGTTGGATGTTGTCTGTCGTGGCTCTTGACCAAGCATCATGGTTTGGGGGTTAATTAGACGGAAGGCATCAATTACAACCTTCCCCTTCACACTCTGAATTGGATCGACCACCACTGCCACCGCCCTCTGATTCAAAGCTTCAAAACTCTGCAAAATAAGACAGAAAACTGTAAATTTGTGGGCCTGATGACATCCATTTTTAGTAAGTGACTCGACCAACTAGAGTGCATAACCAAATCGCAAAAAAACAAAGATGTTTGTCCCGCTATAAGCAGACCCTTACAAGAATAAGCAGTATCAAACAGCAGGTTTTATGTTAAAACGCTCTCCAGAGTATTCCCTAGATGCATGACGTGCCCTACATAACCAGTATAATAGCACAACATTCCACCACTCAAGCAAAAGTGCTTGAGTTTTTGTTTTCAACTTTAAACCAAAATATCGAAAAGAAGGCTGATGGCAAATGTAAGACGACCACCCCTGCCCCACCCCCCAAGACAAATTTAAAAATAGGTAGACAAGAGTATGCAACTAATACAAATATAAAATCCCCAAACGCCATTACTTTAATCGACAGCATTTAGACGAGACAACAATAAATGAGGGTGAAGTAACAACCTGCTGAGTATTGATGTCAACACCAGAAAGCCAGCATCCAAATCCTGGATGTGAATGGTACCAACCGACAACCATCTCAGGTCTGCACACAGAAAATCGAACATTCTAACTTTAGTAATCAAAGATAGCCAAATGAAATTCTCATGCGAAATTGAGCACATAATCTAGAGACAGGCAGGCAATCTAGAGAAGATGATACAGATCGATCGCAGTCTTAAAGGAACCATAGAGCCAGTCAAGCAAAGATCTCACAACAACAAAATCTAAACCACATATACATCTATATAAAGTATGAATCCCCTTAAAATTAGAAACAATGCTGCACTACAACTCCAATTCCCCAAAACATATACATTCCATAATCTAAAAACGAAATGCAGATCCTAAATAATCAAAGAATAATCATATTTATACCTGCCAGTTTGCTTAAGCATGTCAAGCATATTAGTCTGGAAAACGTGATCCACGGCCTCGACACTAACCCCGGTTCCACTCTGAGGCATGGCGAAAACATCCACCACACGAACTGTATACTCGTCCACAAACTCACCAAGCATCAGACCCATCACTTCCATCGGCACCCCAGCCCTGCCTATAAATACACATCAATACACCATAAAACATTAAAACCCTAATTATATCAATTAAAAAATAAACAAAACAAGCTAAGTTAATTAAGTGGATTTTGCTAGCAAAAAGGAACCCTAGATTTACCGTGTTTGAGCATCTTAAGAAGGGCAAGGGACGAGATGTAGACTTGTTCGGACGAATCGAGTGTTGGGGAGTCTGGCGGTGGGTGGCCGAGGGCGCCGCCGGCTCCGGCGAACATTCGGTGCAGTCTTTCCATGCCGGCCATCTCGTTTTTCTCCGACTGATTTTCCTTTTTCTTTTTCTTTTTTTTTTGCTGTGTAGAATTTTGTTTGATTTCTTTGGAAACAAGACAGGGGTTGGGGGAGGGTATTGATAGTAAATGTTTTGCAATGATACCCTTGTATTTTGAGATAATTACTAGTTTACCACCGAAACTAGTATTCCTTTTCGTTTACGCTCCTTTTACTTTTTAATTTACAAACGGCTCCTGAAATTATAAATTTCTTACAATGATACCCTTACATTATTTTTTTTAGTAATTATTTAAACTGAGAGGGGTGACATTTTAGTAATTTTTAGGCTTAAATCAAACGGTGTTAAGGTCAAAGGTCTGAAAACTAACGGTGAGGGCCACATTGAGATAAATTTTCAAGTACAGAGGGTCAAATTGATGCAATTGAGAGTAAAAGGGGTAAAATGATATCGAGCCAAAGTACAAGGGTGCAAATCAATGCATTTGAGAGTAAACGGGGTAAAGTGATATCGATCTAAAGTAAAGGTGGGAAAGTGGAATTTACACTAAAAAAATACAAAATGGATCAATTTTTTTCTTAACTAGGGCCTAAAGAACCCCGGACCTTCCTATTCGGGCCGGCCCTTATAAGCAACTAATGGGCCAGTTTTAAGTTGTTAGTTGGGCTAAGAATCATTTCCAGCCGGGAAAGAAAAATAATAATAAAATAAATAAAAATAAAAGGGTATATTAGTATATTACTGATGAGTTATAGCTCCACCACTAAATTTAATTTGCAGGAGATAAAAGCAAATCCAAGTGGGGGGAGTACAAATTGATGGGGCCCCAAATGTAAAATCCAACGGCTGAAAATAAACCCCCTCGAAAAGCCGCGGAAACACGGAGCCGCTCGAACCCAGAGTTTGGAACAAGATATTCCCTTCGCATCACTCCCCTCAAATGTCACATCACTTCATCACTCTCAATTTCTCTCTCCCTCTATTTTATCAATTAAGGCCGCGTTTGGACAAATTTTTTTTATCTTTCTTTTCCTTTTCTACATGAACACCGCAGATTTTGGGAACTCATCAAAAAACAAGAAAACATAAATAGATTGTATTAGATTTGAGATTTTAATGTTTTATGAACTAAAGTATTAGATTTGAGATTTTTGTTTACTTAGATACCGGCCCCATCACAATCTATACACGTATTTAATAGTTTTTGAAGACTGCCATCAACGCATCGCTTCATAATTCACGTTTTATTTAATAATTACATCTTATGTATTTTAAATTTCAATACGAATTCATTTGTCCCTCAATAATCGAACTCGTAATCTTTCATTTGTGTCTTAATTTTACCGCTGCGCCACTTCACACTCTGAATATAACATGCGTTACTTAGAAAAACGTTGGCTCGAATTTAATCATTATCTATCAATTATATATTTGCTTTTTATAAGAATACAAACAAAAATGTTGTTTAAATAGATAAGGATGCAATCAATATACTTAAAAAGAGTGGTAGTTTAAAATTAAAATATTTTTCCGTTGGCAATAATAATTTCATAACTACAAGTCTACTTTTTTTTGTAATAGCCATACAAAAAAAGTGCATAGTTTTTTCCCCACACGTTTATCCTATATTATCCACTAATTAAACAAGGATTGATACTCCTAATTATTATTTTGGTTAAACCACACATGCTTATTAATTTGTTTCCACAAAATATTTCTCCTATTTGGTTGAATATGGTTTTAATCAACTAATTATAATTAATTAATTAATTAGTTAACTATTCCTTGCTACCAAACACGTCCTTAATAGTAAACCCAACCAGGGTTACTTTTGGCATAACCTTACTCCATACTGAACCAGCACCACTACCACTATAATTAACGCCACCATCTCTCTCTCCCTCTCTCCTCTCTCTTTCTCTCTCTTCATTTCATTTTTCCTTTGAATTGAAGAAAAGAAAAAGCAAAAAAAAAGAAGAAAAAAATTCACAATTTTCTCCGAAGATGAGCTGCAATGGCTGCAGAGTGTTGAGAAGAGGATGCAGCGAAAACTGCATCTTAAGACCGTGTTTGGAATGGATCGAAACCCCACAAGCTCAGGGCAACGCCACCCTCTTCGTCTCCAAGTTTTTTGGCCGGAGCGACCTCATGTCCTTCATCGCCGCCGTACCGGAAAACAGACGACCAGGTAAACTAT